TGTACACCCTGGAATACTAGCATACTGTATACTTTGAGAATATTGTGTCCAGTATGCATACTGCAAAAATAGTTATAAAATAAGTAGTATGTTAGTGTAATGTTCCAGATTCAGCCACTGTATATACTGGAATACTAGCATACTGCATACTTTGCGGAATGTAATGCAAACTTTATTCCATGCATATGGAAAATTAATATATTGTGCACAGTATGTATTCTGCAAATTAGAATGAGTAGAATGAGTAGCTGAATCTGGAATATTACACTAGCATTCGACTCATACTAGTTTGCAGTATACATACTGTGCACAATATTTTTTCCATTTTGCATGCAGCAAAAACAGTACGAGTAGTATGGTAGTATAATATTCCGGATTGAGCCACTGTATACCCTGGAATACTAGCATACTGCATACTGCATACTTTGAGAATGTACTTTACACTTTTTTACGATGCCATGCATACAGAAAATTCACATATTGTGGTTATATGCATACTGCAAAAATAGTACAAGTAGTATGTTAGTATATTATTCCGGATTCAGCCACTGTATACAGTGGAATACTAGCATACTGCACATTGCATACTGCACAAAATGTACTGCATACTTTTTTAGCATTCCATGTAAATGGAAAATTCACATATTGTGCGCAGTATGCATACTGCAAAAATAGTATGAGTAGTATGCTAGTGTAATATTCCCAAAACGCCCACTACATGAAGATAAAACGGCATAATGGATGATTTGAGTCTTGTTGTGTAAACTAGGGCAGGGAAACTGCATACTCAGTTTGTGTGTGTGTGTGTTTAGCTGCTAGCGTCGTCGCTTGGAGACAGTGAGCGCGTGCAGTGCGAGTTGAGTCGTCTTCAAGCGGACAGCGACAGCGCGAAGGCCGAGGTGAAGGAGGTTCTGCAGGCGCTGGAGGAACTCGCTCTGAACTACGACCAGAACAGTCAGGGGGCAGAAGACATGAGAATCCATAACAGACGCCTCATCGAGGAGCTGTCGCACAAAACCGTTTTTTCCATTTTGCATGCAGCAAAAACAGTACGAGTAGTATGGTAGTATAATATTCCGGATTGAGCCACTGTATACCCTGGAATACTAGCATACTGCATACTGCATACTTTGAGAATGTACTTTACACTTTTTTACGATGCCATGCATACAGAAAATTCACATATTGTGGTTATATGCATACTGCAAAAATAGTACAAGTAGTATGTTGGTATATTATTCCGGATTCAGCCACTGTATACAGTGGAATACTAGCATACTGCACATTGCATACTGCACAAAATGTACTGCATACTTTTTTAGCATTCCATGTAAATGGAAAATTCACATATTGTGCGCAGTATGCATACTGCAAAAATAGTATGAGTAGTATGCTAGTGTAATATTCCCAAAACGCCCACTACATGAAGATAAAACGGCATAATGGATGATTTGAGTCTTGTTGTGTAAACTAGGGCAGGGAAACTGCATACTCAGTTTGTGTGTGTGTGTGTTTAGCTGCTAGCGTCGTCGCTTGGAGACAGTGAGCGCGTGCAGTGCGAGTTGAGTCGTCTTCAAGCGGACAGCGACAGCGCGAAGGCCGAGGTGAAGGAGGTTCTGCAGGCGCTGGAGGAACTCGCTCTGAACTACGACCAGAACAGTCAGGAGGCAGAAGACATGAGAATCCATAACAGACGCCTCATCGAGGAGCTGTCGCACAAAACCGTACGCAAACTATCCCTTCATTAGCAAAAGTATCTTAATACAGCACATGTTGTTTGGATTGAGGAGCCACATGCTTTGCTTTGATCTCATGAGCTTTCATGCATATTACACAGAGAGCTGAATATTCTTGTCTTTTATTAATTCCTGCCTGTTTCTCAAATTTATGCAACCGTTCAAAAGTCTATATATTTTTAAATAAAATTAATGCTTTTATTCAACAAGGACGCATTAAATTGATCAAAAGTGCCAGTAAAGACATTTATAATGTTACAGAAGATTTCTATTTCAAATAAATGCTGTTCTTTTGAACTTTCTATTCATCTGTGAATCCTGAAAAATAAAATGCATCACAGTTTCCACAAAAATATTAATGTTTTCAGCATTGATAATAATCATGAATGTTTCTTGAGCAGCACAGCAGCATATTAGAATGATTTCTGAAGATCACGTGACACTGAAGACTGGAGTAATGATGCTGAAAATTCAGAGCAATAAATTACAGTTTAACAGATATTCACATAGAAAGCAGCTGTTTGAAATTATAATAATATTTCACAATTTTTACTGTATTTTTGATCAAATAAATGCAGCCTTGGTGAGCAGAAGGGGTATAAAATATTATTTCTCCAGATCTATTGTACATATTACAAAATCTATTGACTCGAGCTCAGTTCACATGAGTTTTGTTATTGCTGCCTTGTTGCTATTAATGTTTTGCAAGCACAAGCAGTAAAAGTATTTTTTACTGCGATATAAACTCCAGCAGTAATGTTAGCGGGAACTGCCTTCCTTGAGCTTCTAATTAAATCATCAGTGATGCATTAATTGAAGTGAATAATGTTTAATCACGCTGCTCATTTGGGCTGTAATTCTCTCAGTCGGATCTGATGTGTTTGGAGGCGGAGTTTTCCCGGCTACAGGAAGTGAGCAGCCAGCAGAGGAAGTGCATCACTGAGGTGTTAAACACTCTGATGAAGGATCTCAACAGCTTCAGCTTCATACTGGGAAACAGAGACCTCAGACTGGTGAGCGAGTATTTCTGAAGATCTGTAAAACATGATCTATAAAACCCTTTTTGGCTGTAACTGGAACATTAGAAAAGTTTCTATTCTTGTCATGTGTAATATATATGTATATAAATTCATTGCAATTAATTTGAATGACAAAAACTGTATATTTGAATGGCCAAAGTTGGGCTAAAATGTAGGCCTAAAGAAAATTAATATTACTGAAAATGGAGTAAACATACAGAATGAACAAATAAAATAAAAGCAATATAGAAAACCAAAGACAATAATAGAAATAAGAAAGACTAAATGATAATAAAAATAAGATGTGGAACAATGCAGAGTAAAATTAGAAATGATCAATCTGGAAATTTAACAAAAAAGAATTAATTATAATACAAAATAAGAATTAAAGAATAATTCACTCCTAAATGAACATTCTGTGATTATTTATTATAAATATACTATTATAGTTTTTAATATTTTGTATTAGATTTTTATTTTTTTTAAGTTTCCTGTTTGCACTTAAATTCTAGTTAAAGTTTTATTAATTTTGTTGTGTGTTTTTGTTATTTTTATTATTTATCTATTTTTAATATGTCTGAATGTTATTTGTTTTAGTTTATTACATCAAGTTAAACTAAATGAAAATATACTATTAGAGTTTTTGTTAATATTTAGAATATTTTATTTTTATATTTTCTCTTTTCACTTAAATTCTAGTTAAAGTTTGAGTCATTCTTTTGATTTATTTTTATTATTTTTAGTTTTTAATGTCTAAATGTTTTTATTAATTTAAATTGATTAAATTTAGTTTATTACATCAAGTTAAACTAAATCAAAATTTATATACTATTATGTTTCTGTTAATATTTTAACAAGATTTTATTTTTTATATATTTTTAGTTTTAGTTAGTAACTCTGACTTACCTTCATGTCGCTCAAAATGACCTTCTGTGCAAAACAAAATGAAAATGAGCTCTTTTCCAGTTTATAGTGTCTGTAAAGATACAAAATATCATTAAAGCATCATTAAAGACTTCTGAAGTCAAAAGTTATTTTGAATAATCAATGATCAAATGCTTTTGATTCTGATCACATCATGCAGTGTTTGAATATGTGCATTTATGAATGATTATCAGTGAATAATTCAATACAATTCAATTCAATTCATGTTTATTTGTATAGCGCCTTTTACGATACAAATCGTTGCAAAGCAGCTGTACAATATGTTTCTATAATATATTTAGTAGTAGCTTATCAGTGGTGACTATGTCAGTAAATGTACATATGGTAGAAATGAATAATGACAGTTTTCATCTCTGTGTGAACTAATTCTGTAATAAAACAAAAGAATGAAGTAAAGGTGCAGAATAAGACTAATTATGGCAGTAAATGTGTGTGTCCGTCAGCCGTGTGACCTGTCGGGTGTGTTGGAGGAGGAATACGCCGTGGTGTGTGTGTATGTGAGCAAAGTCAAGTCTGAGCTGAAGTCGCTGGTGAAACGCTGCGGACAGCTGGAGGCTTTACAGACCGACTGTCACCGAAAGATGGAGGAGACCGGCAGAGAGCTGTCGTCCTGTCAGCTGCTCATATCACAGGTCACACACACACACACACACACACAC